CATAATAAACAGATCCAAAAAAAGAAACATGTCATTAGGAATCAGATCATCTTGTTCATAACAAACTGAAAGTTAACACATATCAAAGCATCATGAAGTCTATACATCTAAGATGTCACTGAAGTAACAATTCTCAAAATGAATATATTGATGATGTCTTACCATGGAAAAGACAAATTGGATGAGAAAAGCAGTACTTGCATAGCAGGTAAGCCACATAACAATCCCTGTGGCATATGCGGCATATCAGCAAACCTGATGTATTTGAATAACTTTGCAAGTTTCTTGAACTCTTCAGTCGCAAAAGGGATGTCATATAAAATTGCATAAGATGCAAGAAAGGCTGCACTATAGCTTTATAAGGTGCTGTGTCTTCTGGCTTGTTCTTGGAACTTCTGACTCTTGAGGAGGACTTGTAAACTAACATTGCCTCTTTACAAAGAAGTTCCTCATATGGAATTAAAGGCATCATTCTGAGAAGTGCATAACGCCTGCTGGCTGCTGCCCCAAATGGAAACCAGTCATCAGTGGCAAAATTTACTGCTTCTCCACAGTTAAAACCTATGATCAACAAAAAGAAGCAAATAATCAATAGAATTTAGACAGTCTTTCTCATGCATGGTGAGATTGTGTACTTTTATAGAAGTTACTTTAGAAGGTATACTTAAAACTATCTCTGATTAATAAGAACATAAAATCTTTACCTCATCATGCCTGAAAATCAAACTCTAATCCATGTCATGTGTAGTCAAATTCACACATACAAAGAGATTGAAAGATTACCATGACTAAATCCAGCATGATATGCTCTAGGAAAGGTGATGATAAACTCTCCTGGTTTCTGTACAGCCTTGTAAACATCCACATCATGTTGTAACATAACATTTGGTGGGAACATGGTTGTTTTTTGTGCAAGAAACCAGAAAGCTCCATCCTCTCCATGTTTTGTTAAGATCTTATTGCAATACACGTGTTTTAATACGGTCTTTTCAAAATGAGGGGCTGCATAGCCAGGCACTCCATACCAAGTTTTACTTGCACCTGAGTGATGATAATTTATGCTGTGAAGAAGACAGAAATATGTATACATATATGTGTCAATATCTCAGGCAGGTTAAAGTTAAACAATGATCAATGGATAGGGAAGTGGAAAAGGAGACAATGCTTAGATGTACCTGTACAAATAATGATCTTCTACATGCCATGCAAACATACTGAACAACATTCCAATGTAAAGCATAGGATCAGTTATTCCCTAAAATTTAGAATTGGAATTAGAAAGAAGAAATTTTAACTTTTGAGTTCATTTTTGGTTTCCAAGATTGCTTTCTTACGGGAATTTCCTTGTCAACTAAACGTAAGGATGACTGCAGCAGCCGTGAGAAATTCTGAAATCAAATGCAAAATGTTATAAAAGAAAAATACATGCATGAAAAATGTTACTGCAATCAACAATTAATACATTAACATCAGCAGACTCTAATTTTTGAGAAGCAATGACAATCAAAAATCTGTTTCAGGATGGAGATGTTAAAAGAGAACACTACAAGGAAATGGTGTAAGCATACAAGTCAGAAAAACAACCTTCAAATTCCATTTGCTTATTCCAAGCCTGTCATCAGGATCACATGAAAAGGCACTACCTTCAACATTGACTCCATACTCAACTGTTCCCATCTCTCCATGCATCATCTCATGCCAGAACTCCTTTTCCACACATGAAGAAGAAAGACCTCCAGAACAGTGAAATCTACTGAAAAATGTCTTGTTTGCAAGAGCCTCAAATTCATGATATGTATATTTTCTGGTTGAAACAGTAACAACAAACACTTATTCTATTTTGCATAAATTAAGCAACACAAAAGCTTAAAAGCATGATATTATTTCACCTGCCACTCATAGAAAAGGTTATTGTTTCCTTCTCATTCCATTTAGACAGACGAAGAGGCTGTAAGTTTGTTTCAAACTTGAAATCCTTTTTCTCTTACATTAAGACAAAAGCAGCTGGGTTAGAGGCTGCAATTGGAGAAACAATATTGCATATACCTGAAATATGACAATGAAACAATAATCCTGCAAGTAAAATCAGAAGACAAAAGAAATGCAGAAAGTAACTACTATATTTAGATATTTCTGAACTGCTTGAAAAAATAACTTTGGTTTAAACCTGAAAACTTTTCAATTAAAGATGAAGCCTTACACTATAAACACTACAAACTACCTGTAACTTAAAGAAAAAGATCCATAACCTACTATCACATACCATATTTAGAAGCCTCAGGAGCTATTTTCTGCAGAAAAACTAAAGGATGGTCAAACTCATGCTCTGATGGGTAGTATGTTGGACAATCTGGAATCCTTTTGGTCCATTCTGGATCAGCTAAATCATATTTGGTCGGTTTGTTGGTTCCATGTCTGGTTGCTGGCTGAGTAATTGAACTTTTACCAGTCATAGTTCTTCCTCTTCTTCCTCATCTGAAAACTTTTGGTGCACCCATTTTATTTGGTCTTCTAACATATCAAAGATTACTAGCATCTAATTCTTCTTCATTGCAGGCCTTTTCTCCAGCCTAAAATATAATATACAATTATTAGGTAAATTTGACATTAAGCACTATAAAATTCACTTGATTGTAACAGTGAAGCAAACATGACAAAATCGGAGAAATTAACTTTGTTTATTATAGAAAGATTTCATGAGATTATCTGCATATAGTGGATGTGAAAAAAGAGTTCCCTTAATCAATTTCCAACAACTTCACAACTACTGCAGTATTTTGAAACATTTTACTTTAATTCTGGATTCCTTTTCAAACAATTCTTGAGTAATAATGGTATAAATTATAAGATTGTTTCTTCAAAAGGTCCATGATACCACCCTTAAAAGTTGAGTTATAACATCACCCAGAAAATCAAAATAATCTTGAAAATCTTGTAGAAATCTGGCATTCAAAACAGGCTTTTAATGGTTGATGCTTGCCTTATTCAATGATACAAAGAAGAATTGATGAGAGGGGTTATAAAAAGAAGAAAGACTAATCTTTATTATGACTAAATAGAATAAAATTATTCATTAATATTTTCCTCTAGAACAGGCTGAATGTAAATCAATGTTCTTAAGTACAAACAAATCTTGTATGATTTTCTGTCATATGTTGGGTACAATACATGACAATAAACCTCAGTGCTTCAAAAAAAATATTAGATCATCTTCAAGTTCTTAGTGAGTTAAAACCAATACAATACTAAGTAACTTCCCACCAGTGAATATATATTTTCAACTTACTAATCCAAAACTGGTAAACTGGTACATGATATCATCATCATCATCATCCTAATAAGAAAATAAGAATATTAATCAGGATTAAATAACAATCGTATCATAATTTATACACTATTATGAATAGCCAAATATGGTGACACATGGTTGTAAACCTAATGATAATCTACAAGTATCTTTGTATGCATGGATGACAGATGACAGATGACAGATGACAGATTGTTACATTTGTTCCCTTTTTCTTGTTCATGTGTTATGCAAAAACCAAAATGGTAGAATGAAGATTCTGTGTTAATGTGGATACAATAGTAGATATATGGCGGAACAAGTTTCTGGAAACTAAAACGTTAACAGTTAACAACAATAGTATAGTTTGTAGTGTTTCAAAACCTGTTGTAACTGTCTGTGTGATAACTTCTTTATCTTTTTTGTCAATGTTATTTGTTAACTTTCAAAAATTTACTAACACAATCATCTATACCTATGTATAAATGTTTCTATTGTGTTGTTCACTTTTTTTTTCACTAGTATCATTTTGTTTAAATTTAACTTATTTTTTAAATTTAATCATTTTTTAAATTTAACTATTTTTTAAATTAAGTAAATAAAATTAATTTACAAAATAAATAAAAATTATTTATAATTAAATTGTAAAAATTATTTATATTTAATTTTATAATTATAATTTTATTATTTTGTTATAAAAAAAGTAAATACACATTGTGGGCATGTGTTTTTACTAGTTTAAATATAAAAAATTACTCTCAACATTTACTAATACTTAATAGTTACAAAGTGAATATAAAAAAAAATTAACTTAAAAAAAGAATATTGAATTGTTAGAGAAAAAAAATACCCCAAATATGTTACAGACTATATTCTCTTACACTCATGCATCTTTTCTAAATGTAGGACCTTATTATTACATAATTGATTTGGAATTTCCAAATTTTGTTATGTCCATCTTTGCTATTTTCTAATGTAAATTTTGTTTTGTTTTTGAATAAATCTTATACCTATAAAATCAAGTTTTGAATAATCATCCGCTTATAAAATAAAAAAAGTCAATGACATAATTGTATAAATATACCCATAACATTATTAAAGGAGTTTCCTTTTAACTACTCTTTTCCTGTACTCAAATTCTTTCAATTTTGTCCAGTTAGGTACTGTTTTTTGGAACTCCACAAAAACAAATTCATCTAAACAATAAAAATAATACATATAATAAAATTATAAAAAATATTTATTTCTATAAATTTTTTATGCAAATTCTTTCACAATTTTATAATATTTTTATTTCAATAATTATTGTAACATCCCAAAATATAACATTAAACTATATAATAGTCATCACAGATTTAATATAATAGATCAGTTAGAGAAAGATTATAAAGTAAGATTTATAGTCATAAAAAATAACTATAAATTTAAAACTTTATATATAATATAGTTATGTCAAAATTATACACAAGAGTGGTAATCTCAACCACAAAACAAAACAAAGCTAGTACGAATAAAGCTACTACTATATCTTAGCATCAGGGATATCTTCACCGAGAACCTGCTCAATTGAAACTTTATCACCCTCTACTCACACCCACCAGATGATTATCGCCACAAATGAAGAACAAGCACATACAAACAGTACACAAACACAAGTAGCCCTCGTTACTCTGACTAGAACCGAATTTCACTCACTCTTGGTTGCATAATATTTTTCACCACTCTTGGTATCCCTAGACACTCCCGACATTTTTCTGATACATTGTCTAGTTGAGTTTTATCCACTCTTGATTTTCACTAGACGAACTCGTTTAGCTATTGTTTAACCCAATCGAGATAATCGTAAAGTGTTTGAATTCTCTTCAGAATTTACAATCAATCAGATTTTGTACAAGTCCTTAGACCGTTACTCTCGTAGAGAGAATATGTATATAATACAATTCAATCTAACAGACTCTCATAAATTTTCTTTCTTCTTACAAATGTAAGCTTATAATTCAATGAAGCTTGAGAGTATTTCTTTTCTCTTTTGAGCTTTTCTTGTCCTCATAGATATTTTCTTTCGTATTTGTGTGCTTATTCTCTTGCTCTTTTCTTTGACATTTTTCAATATATAGGCTTCAAGAAAATGTTCGTTAGATAGTACTTTGCTTTGATCTTAAGATCTTCTTAGCCTTGTCGTAGGTAGCAGCCGTTGGTTAAACTCAACTTGTTAGAACAAACATGTTTTTTTCAGTTCTTTATCAAAAGTAGGTTGTACAAACTTTTTAGCACGACTTTTGATAGAGTGAACATTCTTTGAATGTCTTGTTTGTCTCTAACGTTCACTTTTGATTTGTATAGGATGAAGCAGGTGAATGCATGTAATAGGTAATCTCCACAAAGTAGAGTAGATATGTATGCAACATATATGTCTTTTCTCTTACACTTTTGTTGTTTTAAAATGTTAAGCATTTAATGGCATTTAAAACATGTTCAGAACAATAAAATGCTTTTCATGTTTTCTATCGTTAAGGTAGGATTTTGTCATTTAAGTTCTTCAGGAAGATACCAAGCAGTTGATGAAGGAGATCGTTTGGCATATGGTATCGTCTAACCTATAAACGTTTCTTCAAGTTATTCTGTTTCATTCAAAACACGTTTAGCAATGTGTCTTTCAACACAAGTTTTTAGAACATCGTTTAAGAATTTTAGTGTAGCAATGTGTCTTTCCAAAAAAATTTTACACTTTCATCTATCAAGATATATTGAGATTTTGTTTTATCATCGCTTAACAATGTATAACACGAGTTGCATTCAGCAAGACTCTCATTGACGCAATAAATAAGGAAACTATTTAGTGGTGTGTTTGTTCATGTATTGTTGTGTTTGTTGAAGTTTTCCTCAAGGTATTTAAATTTTGCAAAGTTTTTTCAAAAACCACTTATATTTTAGCTATATTGCTTTTCTAATGATAACACTTTACCATATGCTCATTTCTTTTATTGTTGTTTATTAAACTTTAAAATATATAAAAACGTTTAGACAATTCAGTCTTGTAGACGATCTTGTCTTAACATGAAATCCATGATCAATATGACAAAGCTTTGATTCCATGTTATGAAAGGTCAAACAAGGAGGAGGTAAAAAGAAAGATAACATATAAAGAAGATATTATTACTAATTGAAAAAGAACACAAAAGAAATATAAAAACAAAATAAATAAAAAAAATTCCATTTTCAATTACATGAATAGATCTAATACATATTATCAATTTCGTGAGACTATATAAAATAACTTTTTGAATTTTTGTACTTTTCACTAACTTTTATTATCTCCTTGAATATATATTAGTTTGAGATTTTGTAAACATTAAACTGACAATGTATTAGTTAAACAAAGCTAACCAAATGTATTAGATGAATTGTTGTAACTTTATAAACATGAGTTTTTGTATAATCTCGCGAAATCAAACGTATATCTGTGTTATCGATCTATACTCTTGGTGAACGGAATGTGTGAAATAATTAAAAGAAGATGAGGATGAAAGAACAAAAGAAATTGTTGGTGAATAAG